GTGCATGTTCCATCAGTCTGTGTTTAGCACTTGTTCTGCTAGCATCTTAGTTTCACTTCTGATCACACATTTTTCCAAACTTGTGTTCACACATATTACATATAAACATCAAGAACCATAGCCCGTTATATAATAACTGACATTGGAAATACCACAGCTATGGATAACTTTATTTAAACAATCCAAGTTATAATTTTGTGTTCTGATTTTATTCCATTACTATGCACGGCATCATCAATCAATATTTATATGTTTTGGGGAGTTCAAGTTATTACAGCAGGTTTCTTTAAAGAATATTTATTTATTCAATTTTATTAATTTATTCTATATTCCAACCACGCGCATTACGTAATTTGGAAAGTCCGTTAAAAGCTGTCAATTCGAAAATTAAGGTATTCGATTTCGCCTGAAGACGACGGTTGTAAACTGTTGAAAGTACTAGCGAGCACGTCTGAAATTTAACAAAAAGCAATAAAATTTTTTTGGGTTTTGTAACTAAAAGGAAATAAACATCATTTATTTTTACCATATACTTAAGCAAAAATAAATTAAATTTGAAATAAAATAATCAACTTATCTCACAACAAATTTGTTTAATAACTAATGTTCAATCACAGTTACAGGTCATTATGAGGTTACAAATTCCATGAATTTTAAACAAATTGAACAAAATTTTAGAAATGCAAATTCCAATAATTTCAAATTCAAAAGATTCTAAATAATTTATACAAAAATTTATTAAGTAAATAAAAATAAACAATAAAAAATAACAGAATTAAATGTAGATACATACATAACATTTGATTAACCATATAAAGCCTTCTAGGCATTTGGCAATGAATGTACTATACATCTGTAATATTAATGCACTCTCCTCTCTATTCTTGCTTGTATCTCCAAAATTTTCATATATTCTGCTAATTTTTTATCTTGCAGTTTCTAATAATTTTAGTGTCATTCCCTAATAATTCTACATGTTGGGTTACAAAGGATAACAGGGCTGTAGAATAGTTTTTCCTTCTTGTGCCATATTGATGTCGTTTTAGCTTACATTGTAATGCATAAATGTTGTTTGTTAGTTTAAAAATTTGCTGCTAGATAAGTTGAGTATTTTATTTCAGTCTAAAATCCAGTTGTAACCTAACAAGAGAGAAATAAATTTTACCATGAGTCAAATTCCAAAACAGACATTCCAAAAATTCTATTTAAATTTAATTAACTTATGATGTTTCACAAAAGAGACAAATTACAACATTTATGATATTTACAAAGTAGGTTTCCACATACACACAAATAGATTTAAGTTCAAGTAGTCCGCAAATCCTGAACAGGTCCGTCGAAAAGACACTTTATGACACAATCCTTGAGTAGTAACTAGATGTAGTTCCTTCCAGTGTTCGTCAAAGAAACAGCTAAACAAAAGCAACCTTGTTTCGAGCGTAACATTAAACAAACCTTCTGATCGGAGTTCAATTGACCAAATCTACATTACTGACCAACAACTTTGACCAACTTCGACCAATTTGAAGTTCTTTTAGTCTAAGTTAAACAAACTCCAATGAAATGTCCTTAACCTGACGTTCCTACAAACTTAACTTTCCCGCCTAAACTTTAACCTTTTATATGGATTGAGCGGCATGATTGATTGACCAATCAGTGCTTCCCTGCTCTCTCAGAGGTCTGATGATCGGCAGCCAATCAGCGATCATGCATTCAAATCTACTGGTCATTTTCCATCAGTTTCTACGGTGTCAACCGTTGCTCATTTGAAATAGAGAAAAAGACGAATCGTGTTTCTGCATGATTCTATCCCGACACCATGTATAAAGACTTCAGCACTTCTTACCCCCGTATTCACCAATGCGAGTTAGAGCTAGAGTTAACTCTAACTCATGTTGGTGAATACGGGGGTTAGAGGTTGTAGACAAGATGTTTGAATGGAGATGGAAGATGAAACTCAGGAAATTACTCTATTGACTGGTGTACATTGCATACTTTTCAGATAATAATTAACATAAGTACAATAATTTAAAATGACAACATTTAGTTTGGAAGACCCTGTATTATCTTAAAACAATCTTATGAATACTATTAGTCTATTACCTTTTATAATAAAATTATAAAAACGTTAAATATTAGTTATATATAGATATACTAAAGGTATGTAAGTAAACATATTTAAAAGCTGTTATTTTTGGTTTGAAATTAATTAATTAAATTACAGAATCTCGTTTGCTTGGCTTAGCTTTAGCTTTAGCCTTATTCTTAGTCTTAGTCTGAAAATAATCTACTTTTAAGATACATTTAGCTATTAAAAGTCAGACCAGTTTATTGTAAGATAAGTCTGTCTGATACTAAGAATCTGTTGCCATTTTGACTAGTGAACAAAATTATGTTACATTTAATTTCTCATCAAATTTTTCATTAGTATGAGAAAACAGATTTATTTGTTCTGTGAACTACACAAATCTGCTTTCACTTGTTTTTCTTCTTGAAAATTAAAGGGGGAATTAATGTACTAAGTTTTTTGTCAATAAAATTGGAATTAAAGTACTGTCCAACCACAGATCCCAGAGCCCCAGTTGGTAGATTTCAAGGAACAATCTTATTTCCTTGCTGGTTGAGGAAAGTGGAACAAATACAAATTGGTGTGCATTGTTAAACATTGTTGTTAAACTATAGTTTATCATTTTTCTTTCTTTACTATAGTGTACATTTGTATTGAATTCATTTGATTATGGATCTGGCACCTTCTGTGAGTTTGGATAATAAACAGTCAAAGCAAATATATTATTCACAATGTACATAGTAGTACTTGTAAGCAATGCATTCAAATTAACTAATAAGTATAGATTCTAAACAGTAGATTGTTAATATGATAACTATTAATTAAGTTTAATTTCAATTGCAAATTTGTTTACTGATGTAAACTAACTCATTTTCTAGGTAACTACCTTATTTTCATAATAGACTTGTCTTTTTCATCTATGCACTGTAATGTTTAGGGCTCTCTTATCCATGGTTGGACAGTACAAAAGTTTACATAAGCCATTTAAATTTTATTATAGGAAAAGCATTATCCCATTCCTGTGAGAAAATCTTGCTTTAAATCTAATCAGAAAATTTGTATTTTATCACCGACTGTTTCCAATTCTTTATCCATTCCTTTACCAATGGATGTAACTTGCATCAGGATTGACAGATCTGATACATCTTTAACAAGTAAACATGTATCATATAGCATATTATGATAGTGCAATTCATCAACAGGTCAAAACATGCTTATGTGATCACAATATTAACTGTAAAAAAATATAGTAATGCTCTTTTCTTCATAATGTAGATAACTTTTAAACATGATCTTTTCTGCATTAAAAAGCATTTTTAATGCTTACACTCATTATATAAATATATAATTAAATTGGAATTAGCATGCCCTTTACAATTACATTTTTGTGCATTGTGTACATTTGATTAGGAAGGGGTGGCAGATAATTTTCCTTTATAATATAATTATTTTTAGGGTCTCAATGATATTTTTGGTAATCAATTAATAATAATGATATATTGTATATGCAAAAAAACTTTTGTTAGATAAAAATCTATATTTAAATGTTTTAAACTGATAAATAAGACAATGAAAATATCACTCCACATCATTATCATTTTACAAAATATGTTATAGAGAATATAGAATCAAGGAGATAGCTTGACATAATAATTGATTGCAATGCTAAGAAGCAACATTGATCACAGTATATTGTTACACTTCTTAATGACAATTAAGAAGTATAAATGATATTTTGTATTTTATAATATAATTATTTAAATTTGCCATTGTATTTTATTCTTTGAATTTTATATAATTACATAAACATTTAAAATATATTGATTGTCTTAATTAATTAATCACATCTTTTTTTCTTTTTAATTAAATGCATTTAATATCCAGTTTTCTAAAAATTTTCTGTTAACAGGCTATTTTTTGAAAATCTGTATACAGAATGATTACAAAATTGTAAACAGTTTATGGCACTTTTGGGTACGTTTTCAAAGTGTCCTCTTGTGTCCAGTCAGAACACTGGTAACAATACAGTATCAGTGAAAGGATGCTGGTGTGAGATTATGATGGCATAGTGTTGTGTTTGAGGGAAAAGAATGTTCCAGAAAAATATGTTAGGTTCGTCAAGGAAACCTACAAGGGAGCAGAGATCCAAGTTAAGAGCAGTGTGGATACTATAGAAGGGTTCTTCGTTAATGTTGGTTTACATCAGGGATCTGCCTTAGTCCTTATTTGTTTGACCTGATAATGGATGTGATGGTATGTGACGTGAAGTGTGAGGCTCTGTTGAGTATGCCATTTACGGATTATATTGTGTTGTCTTTCCCAAACCAAGGCTGAGAAGAAACTGGAAGATTGGAGGAAAGTTTTGGAAGAAAGGGGCATGAAGATTAGCAGAACTAAAACAGTTTATATGACTGAATGGTAGAGACGAGTGTAATATTAAATCCAAAATGTGCCACTCCCTTTGGTTCCAAGTTTTAAATATCTTGGAACATTTGTCAAGATAGGAGGAAGATTGAACTCGGAGGTACAGCATAGAATTCAACGTGGATGGATGAACTGGAGGAAGCTGAGTGGTGTGTTATGCGACAAGAAAGTTAGCTGCAATCTGAAAGGAAAATTGTATAAATCAGTTGTTAAACCTGCAATGTTATATGGAGCGGAGACATGGGCAATAATAAGAGCCCAAGAAAGAAAGGTGGAGGTGGTGGAGATGAGAATGTTGAGATAGATGTATGAAGTGTCAAGGAAGGATAGAATAACTAACCTCTAAAAATAAGGATAGAATAAGGAATGATNTCGAATTTAATCACAAATAATAATATTATTTTTATGCAATTTTATAAATTTGATATTAAAATATAATTTAAATTCATTAAATGCTTACTTTTAAGAAATAATGTTTTTTTTATTTATTTATTAAATAAACGAAGGATTCAAGATGGCGACCAGATTAGATTTGAGGCCCAACAGGAATTTGTTAGACTCGAAATTTGAAAGCTATCGCCTTTCTTTAGACCCTCTTCCGATATTAAAACAAAATCTACAAGAAGGTAAATTATTATTTATTATTTTAATGTTTATATTATTTATTATAACATTGGAATATGAAGCTATGTGACAAATATGACAATGTTTGTGTACATTTTGCATAATGTTTTTTGATGAATCTTGCTTGAGAATATTCTGAATTAAATTATAAATGATTCACTCAGTTGTGCAGTTATTAAAGCATTATACATTGATTAGTGCAGTGCAATCTTTCAAATGCAAACTCTTCAATGCTGAGATGTTATCAAAAGGATGCTAAATCAGTAAATATTGATGGTAAGATTGCACATGAGTCTGTTGGGACCTTATCAGAGCTGTAGACCATGCCCATAGTCGTAAAAAAAAGTGAAAGGAAGTATGGGCATGGTCTACAGCAGTGGTTCTTGATGTTTTTTGTGTCGTGGATCCCTAAAGCTCCTGTACCTTGATGGAATGGCCAAGCAATCATGTCAGCCTACCGCTCTGGGAAACCTGGGAGTGAATCTGGACGAGTCAAGAAAGCCCCAGGAATTTTCCAGGTGGTAGACTGTCTGGATATGTCGGATGCTGTCCCTAACCACCCAACCACCCCATTGGGCCTGGCTGAACCCATAATGGGCTTGCTAAAAAAGGCCCTCTTAGTGCCCACGTGGCAGAAAGAGTTAAAAATAAAAAAACCATGATGGACTGCACCACTGGTTGAGAAATGCAAGTATATGCCTCTGAAAATATCCCAACGGCCTTTTTCTTAGCTGCAATAACCCACCATCAACTACTGTAAATCATTGAGCTATAATTCGGCAATAATAATAATAAATTACAAATTTAATTATTTAATTAAATTGTAATTAGCAAATTCAATATGAGATGGCACCTAATGCCTCCTTCTAGGGCAGTATTAGGCATTATTATTGCCAAATTATAGCCAGATGATTTATGGCAGTTGATGGTAGGTTATTGCTATGTATCGGGTTTAGTAAAGTTGTTTATATTCGTAGCTGCATTTGTATCATGGCTTCTGTAAGTTTATATAATATATATTGATTTACTTATATTCTACAGTCTGTTTGTGAAAGATTCACATATAATAGCATATTATTATTATTGAAGATTTGAGCTACAATTAATATATATATATAAATAATTCTTTTGCCAGTTGGATGGCCAAGGTGGTTGTGTTGGTTCGTCGCTTTGGAGAATTCGATTTAAATCTGGGCATTCAAAAAATCCTCAGGAATTTTGTGGAAGATGATCTGTTTTGAAAATGCAGAAATAAAAGGTTCTCTTAATGTCCACAAGGTGGAAAGAGTAAAAAAAGAAAAAATACCATTTCATCATTTTAATACTAATGCTAAATGTGCAGATAATTAGAAATGTAGTGGTAGACAGTTATAAACACCTTAAAAAAGATTACTTATAATATGCACTAGTAATAAATCTGAAAATTTGTTATTATTAGCATTTTATTATATCCTATTTAATTCTACAGTAAGCATGATTATATTATCATGCTTCTAAAACTTGAAATTGAATTTTATTATCCTTGAACACTAGAAAATATAAATGTATATGATTAGAGTCATTTTTGCAATTTATTTAGAAATAAATTTCAGCAATATAATTCTAAATATATAAATCATGAATTTAATTATTAATATATCAGAATTTCCAAAGCAAGTAACAATATTGGATGAACTGATTAATTAGGAATAAGTGGAGGCTAATAATATAAAAGTCAAGATGGCTGATAGCTGAGGCATTTAAGGCATCAGCTTTAACTGCCTCAGCTATTGGCCATTTTGAGAACCTGGGACTGAATCCAGGGAAATGATTGGGCATGTGTCTCACCACCCAATCATTTTCCATTATGGGATCTGGTTGACTCCATGATGAGTGTGATTAAAAGACTTTCTGAGCCATCCCAGACAAATTTGAATTGGGGCCCTCATGACTTCAGACATTTTTCTTTAGGGTAATATTTTCTTATAAAAGATTGGTTTGGGACCCCCTGTTAGTAGAGGCCACAGGCAATTACCCTTTTTACTCATAAGATAATGTGCCATTGCTTAGTACACATAAGACAGAAAGAGTAAAAAAACTGATCAGATCATTTCAAACTTATATTAATATAATAAAACTTTTTCCAACTTCATTTTATAATATTGAAATAATTTTCTACAAAATTTATTTTTCCAAATCAAAATATCATAATTCAATTAAATTTATAGAAAATTTGTACACAATTTCATCTCTGTCAAGGAATTTTAATTGATTAATTTAAGTTACCTTTGTATCAGCAAAAAGTTTAAAAGGAATTATAAGTTCCTTCATGAGATATGATCCTCCAAAACTTCTTTGTGCAGTACCAAATAATTTATAAAAATAAATGAAAGTTTAATGGCAAAAGTTATTGGAACAGTATGCTAAAAAATGTTTAAGATTTAATGTTTTCCTCTTCACAAGAAGACAATATAAAGTGTGATGTGAGGTCATTTGATGGCATATACTTAAGAGTGTATGTCTTTAGTTTATGCCTATAACTAGGTTGTAGCAAAATTAAAATATTTACTGAATATATATAATTATAATATGAAGATATTATTCCTTTTGAAGAGTGACTAAAAGCAATAAAACTTTGACACTTCCGTGTTGTGGCGTTATTGACAGCGATTTGTTAAATTTCAGACGTGCTCGCTAGTACTTTCAACAGTTTACAACCATCGTCTTCAGGCGAAATCGAATACCTTAATTTTCGAATTGACAGCTTTTAACGGACTTTCCAAATTACGTAATGCGCGTGGTTGGAATATAGAATAAATTAATAAAATTGAATAAATAAATATTCTTTAAAGAAACCTGCTGTAATAACTTGAACTCCCCAAAACATATAAATATTGATTGATGATGCCGTGCATAGTAATGGAATAAAATCAGAACACAAAATTATAACTTGGATTGTTTAAATAAAGTTATCNCACGTCTGAAATTTAACAAAAAGCAATAAAATTTTTTTGGGTTTTGTAACTAAAAGGAAATAAACATCATTTATTTTTACCATATACTTAAGCAAAAATAAATTAAATTTGAAATAAAATAATCAACTTATCTCACAACAAATTTGTTTAATAACTAATGTTCAATCACAGTTACAGGTCATTATGAGGTTACAAATTCCATGAATTTTAAACAAATTGAACAAAATTTTAGAAATGCAAATTCCAATAATTTCAAATTCAAAAGATTCTAAATAATTTATACAAAAATTTATTAAGTAAATAAAAATAAACAATAAAAAATAACAGAATTAAATGTAGATACATACATAACATTTGATTAACCATATAAAGCCTTCTAGGCATTTGGCAATGAATGTACTATACATCTGTAATATTAATGCACTCTCCTCTCTATTCTTGCTTGTATCTCCAAAATTTTCATATATTCTGCTAATTTTTTATCTTGCAGTTTCTAATAATTTTAGTGTCATTCCCTAATAATTCTACATGTTGGGTTACAAAGGATAACAGGGCTGTAGAATAGTTTTTCCTTCTTGTGCCATATTGATGTCGTTTTAGCTTACATTGTAATGCATAAATGTTGTTTGTTAGTTTAAAAATTTGCTGCTAGATAAGTTGAGTATTTTATTTCAGTCTAAAATCCAGTTGTAACCTAACAAGAGAGAAATAAATTTTACCATGAGTCAAATTCCAAAACAGACATTCCAAAAATTCTATTTAAATTTAATTAACTTATGATGTTTCACAAAAGAGACAAATTACAACATTTATGATATTTACAAAGTAGGTTTCCACATACACACAAATAGATTTAAGTTCAAGTAGTCCGCAAATCCTGAACAGGTCCGTCGAAAAGACACTTTATGACACAATCCTTGAGTAGTAACTAGATGTAGTTCCTTCCAGTGTTCGTCAAAGAAACAGCTAAACAAAAGCAACCTTGTTTCGAGCGTAACATTAAACAAACCTTCTGATCGGAGTTCAATTGACCAAATCTACATTACTGACCAACAACTTTGACCAACTTCGACCAATTTGAAGTTCTTTTAGTCTAAGTTAAACAAACTCCAATGAAATGTCCTTAACCTGACGTTCCTACAAACTTAACTTTCCCGCCTAAACTTTAACCTTTTATATGGATTGAGCGGCATGATTGATTGACCAATCAGTGCTTCCCTGCTCTCTCAGAGGTCTGATGATCGGCAGCCAATCAGCGATCATGCATTCAAATCTACTGGTCATTTTCCATCAGTTTCTACGGTGTCAACCGTTGCTCATTTGAAATAGAGAAAAAGACGAATCGTGTTTCTGCATGATTCTATCCCGACACCATGTATAAAGACTTCAGCACTTCTTACCCCCGTATTCACCAATGCGAGTTAGAGCTAGAGTTAACTCTAACTCATGTTGGTGAATACGGGGGTTAGAGGTTGTAGACAAGATGTTTGAATGGAGATGGAAGATGAAACTCAGGAAATTACTCTATTGACTGGTGTACATTGCATACTTTTCAGATAATAATTAACATAAGTACAATAATTTAAAATGACAACATTTAGTTTGGAAGACCCTGTATTATCTTAAAACAATCTTATGAATACTATTAGTCTATTACCTTTTATAATAAAATTATAAAAACGTTAAATATTAGTTATATATAGATATACTAAAGGTATGTAAGTAAACATATTTAAAAGCTGTTATTTTTGGTTTGAAATTAATTAATTAAATTACAGAATCTCGTTTGCTTGGCTTAGCTTTAGCTTTAGCCTTATTCTTAGTCTTAGTCTGAAAATAATCTACTTTTAAGATACATTTAGCTATTAAAAGTCAGACCAGTTTATTGTAAGATAAGTCTGTCTGATACTAAGAATCTGTTGCCATTTTGACTAGTGAACAAAATTATGTTACATTTAATTTCTCATCAAATTTTTCATTAGTATGAGAAAACAGATTTATTTGTTCTGTGAACTACACAAATCTGCTTTCACTTGTTTTTCTTCTTGAAAATTAAAGGGGGAATTAATGTACTAAGTTTTTTGTCAATAAAATTGGAATTAAAGTACTGTCCAACCACAGATCCCAGAGCCCCAGTTGGTAGATTTCAAGGAACAATCTTATTTCCTTGCTGGTTGAGGAAAGTGGAACAAATACAAATTGGTGTGCATTGTTAAACATTGTTGTTAAACTATAGTTTATCATTTTTCTTTCTTTACTATAGTGTACATTTGTATTGAATTCATTTGATTATGGATCTGGCACCTTCTGTGAGTTTGGATAATAAACAGTCAAAGCAAATATATTATTCACAATGTACATAGTAGTACTTGTAAGCAATGCATTCAAATTAACTAATAAGTATAGATTCTAAACAGTAGATTGTTAATATGATAACTATTAATTAAGTTTAATTTCAATTGCAAATTTGTTTACTGATGTAAACTAACTCATTTTCTAGGTAACTACCTTATTTTCATAATAGACTTGTCTTTTTCATCTATGCACTGTAATGTTTAGGGCTCTCTTATCCATGGTTGGACAGTACAAAAGTTTACATAAGCCATTTAAATTTTATTATAGGAAAAGCATTATCCCATTCCTGTGAGAAAATCTTGCTTTAAATCTAATCAGAAAATTTGTATTTTATCACCGACTGTTTCCAATTCTTTATCCATTCCTTTACCAATGGATGTAACTTGCATCAGGATTGACAGATCTGATACATCTTTAACAAGTAAACATGTATCATATAGCATATTATGATAGTGCAATTCATCAACAGGTCAAAACATGCTTATGTGATCACAATATTAACTGTAAAAAAATATAGTAATGCTCTTTTCTTCATAATGTAGATAACTTTTAAACATGATCTTTTCTGCATTAAAAAGCATTTTTAATGCTTACACTCATTATATAAATATATAATTAAATTGGAATTAGCATGCCCTTTACAATTACATTTTTGTGCATTGTGTACATTTGATTAGGAAGGGGTGGCAGATAATTTTCCTTTATAATATAATTATTTTTAGGGTCTCAATGATATTTTTGGTAATCAATTAATAATAATGATATATTGTATATGCAAAAAAACTTTTGTTAGATAAAAATCTATATTTAAATGTTTTAAACTGATAAATAAGACAATGAAAATATCACTCCACATCATTATCATTTTACAAAATATGTTATAGAGAATATAGAATCAAGGAGATAGCTTGACATAATAATTGATTGCAATGCTAAGAAGCAACATTGATCACAGTATATTGTTACACTTCTTAATGACAATTAAGAAGTATAAATGATATTTTGTATTTTATAATATAATTATTTAAATTTGCCATTGTATTTTATTCTTTGAATTTTATATAATTACATAAACATTTAAAATATATTGATTGTCTTAATTAATTAATCACATCTTTTTTTCTTTTTAATTAAATGCATTTAATATCCAGTTTTCTAAAAATTTTCTGTTAACAGGCTATTTTTTGAAAATCTGTATACAGAATGATTACAAAATTGTAAACAGTTTATGGCACTTTTGGGTACGTTTTCAAAGTGTCCTCTTGTGTCCAGTCAGAACACTGGTAACAATACAGTATCAGTGAAAGGATGCTGGTGTGAGATTATGATGGCATAGTGTTGTGTTTGAGGGAAAAGAATGTTCCAGAAAAATATGTTAGGTTCGTCAAGGAAACCTACAAGGGAGCAGAGATCCAAGTTAAGAGCAGTGTGGATACTATAGAAGGGTTCTTCGTTAATGTTGGTTTACATCAGGGATCTGCCTTAGTCCTTATTTGTTTGACCTGATAATGGATGTGATGGTATGTGACGTGAAGTGTGAGGCTCTGTTGAGTATGCCATTTACGGATTATATTGTGTTGTCTTTCCCAAACCAAGGCTGAGAAGAAACTGGAAGATTGGAGGAAAGTTTTGGAAGAAAGGGGCATGAAGATTAGCAGAACTAAAACAGTTTATATGACTGAATGGTAGAGACGAGTGTAATATTAAATCCAAAATGTGCCACTCCCTTTGGTTCCAAGTTTTAAATATCTTGGAACATTTGTCAAGATAGGAGGAAGATTGAACTCGGAGGTACAGCATAGAATTCAACGTGGATGGATGAACTGGAGGAAGCTGAGTGGTGTGTTATGCGACAAGAAAGTTAGCTGCAATCTGAAAGGAAAATTGTATAAATCAGTTGTTAAACCTGCAATGTTATATGGAGCGGAGACATGGGCAATAATAAGAGCCCAAGAAAGAAAGGTGGAGGTGGTGGAGATGAGAATGTTGAGATAGATGTATGAAGTGTCAAGGAAGGATAGAATAACTAACCTCTAAAAATAAGGATAGAATAAGGAATGATTTTATTAGAGGTTCTGTTAAGGTGGGCCCCTTGAGCAAAAAGATGCAAGAATGCAGATTGAGGTGGTTTGGTCATGTAAAGTGAATAAGCAACAATTATGTTGGAAAGAAGATCGGAAAACTGGTAGTAAAAGGAAGAGGAAAAGAGGACCAAAGATGCATTGGAAAGATTAGGTGAAAGAAGACTTGAATCTGAAGGGACTTAAGAGAGATGAAGCCCTTGACAGGGAGAAATGGAAGAAACATATTAGAGAAGGAAATGCCAACTCCAAATAAACATGGGAAAAGGCAAGGATAAAGAAAGAAAGTGTTGTGTTTGACACAGAGCCGTAGTGTTTATCTTAATCATCTGTATTCATGTAGAATAGAAAAGAAAATGATAACCATGGACATATCTAAGGGTATGGATACATGGGAAAATGGTTTGAGCTAAACTTTCCAACAGTTCCTGCTTAATGACACTATTTTATGGAAAATTCTATATACTGTTCTTGGGATATGTTGATAGCTCTGAGTTAATCCAGTTTAAATTTTTTACTGTAATATTTTACTGTATAGCAAGTAAAACTATTGTAAAATGCTAGAATTGGAACAAAGTTTTGTGAATCCATTATGAAAATTTACATATCAAAGGAGACATCAAAGAAATAAGCTTGTTGCATTACTAAATTCATTATTATATATCACTTCAAACTTTTCTCAAGGAGTTATTATATTTATTCTCTTTAACATTTTTAAGAGGAATTTCTTGTCATCAGTAGCATGCCATAGATGTTTAATTGTAAATTTTTGAAAATTTCTATTTAATATGTAAATGTCCACCTCATGGTCATATGGTCTAGAAGATAAGTTGGCCTATCACTTTGAGGGACTCTGAAATTAAATCCAGAGTTGAAAAACCCAAGAAATTTTTTTGGGGTGCTCTGCCCTTTGCTATCAGCCACCACACAATGGGCTTGATTATAAAAAGCTCTCTTGGTGCCCATAGGATGGAAGGAGTGGAAAAAAAAGTCCATCCTTGAAGATAGTCTGTTATCCAGGTCAAAAACATTAATTCATTCTTTAACTTCTGCTGTTAAAGGTGTATTGATTAATTCAACAGTTTAATCTAATTTTAATACGTTGATATTTTATTCATAGACAAGTGTTGAATCATTGCTTTCTGCAATTTTAAATATGTTTTATAGCTATTTTTAATGTAGTCAGCAGATTACAAATGGTTTTTTTTCTTTAAAATATTTTTTGATATTATTAAGCTTAAATATAAAATTATTATACTTATGAGAAGAAACTATTCATATAAATTTTTATTACATGTTGTTTCATTATATAATTCCAAGAAGATTAATTTTTGTAATATTTACAAAAATTAATCTTTTTTTTTATAGCTAATATGATTTAAGTAAGATTTTAAAATGTATTTTTCTATTTATTTAGGAGTTCAAAATGTCGATTTGGGAGAAGATAGATTCTCATATTTGGAAATATGCATGTCTGGTCTTTTCAATCACTTAAATCAAGATCCTTGGGCCTTAAACTGTTTATTTTATGTAAATGAAAGTCACCACATTTGTTGGATTTGCCTTTCACAGGTTACATATAGATAAATGCATCATTTCATTTTATTAATGTGAAGCAAATCAGCACATTAATGCACATAACATTTATATTTCTATAGGATGGCAGATTGACAGATAGAAAGTTTGTGTGGCAAATTCCTGTCGAATCTGGTAATTTTTCATCTAATGCAAGTATCAGCTTTCCGGGAATGGAGTGGGCCGTTGTCAGTAATGGAAGTAGAACAATTTACATTCTTAATACACCGAGCAGGAGTCAGGGTGAACCATGGCAGGCAAGTATGTTCACTCTTTTAATGTATGTCTTGATGTTATAGTAGCTTGATATTGTATTTAATTGCAGCTTTGTTTTACCTATGAAGTTGATGGCTGTTCTTCGCAGTCTCTTTTATTCAATAGTATTTACAGTAGTTATCCAAGCAGAAATCAAATAGATTGTGTTCTTGCTCACATTTCAAAACCACATAATGTACAAGGAAGTTGTAAACTACCTGAAACAACGATTCACTTTATACTAGTTCTAGAATGGTTGACATTTACTTGTGGTAAGTATTAAATTACCAGATGAAATTTTACACAATTATCTTGCTACAATTTAAACTTATAATACAGTTCACAAGCTAAATTCATGTATTGAAATTAGATTACTGTTAGACTTGCTCAGATTTAACAAGTAAAAATTAATTATGATGATGATACGTATTATAATTTTAAGTTTCATTAATTAGCAAGAAATTAATTAATATTTTAAAAAGTATTAAATTTATATAATTTAATAGCTGTAGGAAATGATAATAATGTGTGGAATTTGAAACGTCTGAGGCGTCTAGTAGGGAGTAGCATACCAAATTATGTTGTAATTGAACCAGGAGGAAGTGCACTGTGTCTTGCAACAGAAAAAGAATTTAGTTTTATATATGACTCAGGAAAGCAAGAAGAAATTACAGTTGAAGAACAGAAAGGTAAACACTATATTTTCTTTGTAGAAAAGGGCTGGCAGAATTACAATTTAATAAAAAGTAAAATACATCTGGATACAAGTCCAATTTTGCTTGTTTCCATTGCAGAGACAACCTTTCTTTAGAGGCTATGCCTCTGCACAAATATGCAAAACAGTTTAAAATGTCCTCAGGTGACAATCCAAACACAATTAAAAATATAATATTTCTTTGTATTCTCGTATCCAGATGTATTTTACTTTTTATTAAACTATATTTTCTTCCTTAGAAATTGATAGTGTTTATATAAAATTTTTAAATAAACAAATTTTTTTTATATTTTAGTGACAATATTACTCCCATTATACACATATATACAGTCTATGGAAGATGTCAATGTCATATTTCGTCTTCCAGAAAATATTAATACAAGTGACATATCAGTCATTATACAATCATCTCATTTAGAAGTTAAGTTTAAAGGTAAAACTGTATTGGAAGGACCTTTATGCAACACTGTTAATGTTGATGCAAGTACATGGATAGTAGATGGAGAAAAGTGAGTTTATTATTATTTTTTTATATATTTTGTATTTGGTTATAGAATTAATAAAAACATATAAAAATTTGTCTTTAACATAAAAAATAGTTAATAAAAGTAGTTTATAATAAATAAATTAAAATCTCAATATTCTAACAGATCAATATACAGTGGGTGATCAGTAAACGAACATAGTCCGTTCCAAGACTTTGTTCATTAACCGATTATCGATTTACCATAGGTTTTTATGGGAATTTGATTAATTTGTTTCAAAGACTATAAAAAATAAAAAATATATTCTTTTTTTTACTATGTTTATTTATATGTAATAGTAAAAATACATATATATGCAGTCTTACATTTTTATTAGTCATGTTTTTTCTGTTTGTGGGGGTTAAAGAATCTGTCCAATGTCTATTGCTTTTCTCTTTTCTTCTCAGGATTTTTTGGGGATCTCCAACCCCATTAGCCTTATTCTGGTTTGGATGCCACTTGGATGATTGTTTTACTGACATCCCTGGAGTTCTTATGTCATCAGATCAGTTTCAGGTTCCATTATAAGCTCTAAAGTGCTCTTTATTTCTCAGATGTGATTTTCATTACTCCATTAGCAGCTTCAGACTTCATGATATACCTTTCATAGCTAAGATTGTATCTACTGTAGACCTGTTCAAGCTATTACAGAAACAAAAAAATAATTTAATAAATCTCTCAGAAGGTATGCAAATTGATTGCCGCTGGTATGAGTTAATAGATGGTGCTAAAACAAGTTAAGATTGTTATAATTTTTGTAAAATTAATTTGTAAAAGAACTTTTTCATTGTAAACCTGATACTGGTATAATGTAAATGTTGTTTGTGTATCAAACGGTTTTACATACGTATATTAAGTTTTTGCTATGTTAACTGGTTTTACTACATCTGTTATACACCCATGTGTAAAAAAGTTTTTATATGATTGTGAGTATTTTAGAAGTTTGTCTGTTGGAATTATAATTGTTTGAGTTTTTAGATGTATATTAATATGGAATACACAATTTTAGGTTAAAATATTGATTAAGGATGAGGACGGTTTGCCTCCCACTCCCTAATTTGAGATAAATAAGAAACAATTTTTATAATTTACAAAATTGGAAAATGTAGGTGTTTTTTGTGATTTGATTTGTTTCATGCAATATAACATAGTCATGTTTTAATATTTCTTGTTTTATTTGTAATAGCACTGAAGAGGGGTTGGAATACATTGTACCAACCCGAAATATATTTGTAGTCCAATGAAAAATAAAAGATAATTTGCTAACCAGATATTGCTGTAAGATACGTCTACCAAAGTGTGTTTTTGGATTACAGAGACAAATTTACAATTGTAATATAATATACAGCAAGCCGTTTATATAATTAACAGTGCCCGTCTGACAGTCTCGTGAAGACTATAAAAAATTATTTGTCAGAAAGGTAAACAAAAAGCTGGAATTACAAGGGGAGAGTTTCAAAATTTGGAGGGATACTATCTGATCGGTATCAGGTTGAGCATCGATGTTGACGTCTTCCGCACTCCGAAAGGTTTCGAATTGTTACCTGAAGACAAGGGAAAATCAATCGGTATTCATTATTTTCTGTCGCTTCTTTTTATGTTTGTTCAGTAAAGTGTTTGTTGTCTGATGATAAAAATCTTTCACGAAAGTGTTCGTTAACTGATCACCCACTGTACTTCATTGGTTAATCATATTAGAGTTCTCATCATCCAATGTAGAATGGATCAAGGGTTCCTCAGATATAAAAAATTTGGATAACAAAGAATATTTGACAAATTGTTAAATAAACTGGATTTGGATACATTAACATGTACAGTATATGTATTCTAATTATTAAGCATAATGACTTAAATCATACAATGAAACAGTCATAAATAAAAGTATTTATTAAAGTAAATATGCCTACAGATACAGTTAAAATGTCTTTCATCTTTTTTAAAATTTACATTACTCAAATTAATTCTTTCTAAAACATCTAGAAGTCATCAAGAGATCCTCTTTTGTATACTGTACATTGCACAATCAAGATTCATTGAATGTGAAATTCCCAAAATGTTTAGATTGCTTTGATAACTCGGAATCATTTCTTTGTTTGTTCTGAATGGGGATCTGTTGATTCATGGCTTCCTTTAAAATGTTTATGCTATTCCTACACTTGTGTACACAACATGGTGTTATTACTATATGTTTCTTTAACCAGATTTAGTACAGTTTTTAGCAAGATTAAACATTAATAATGTATCACACGCATTAAAAGAATTCTGATAGTATACAATGTAAAAAAGCAGTTTATGCAGTTTAAACAGATCAAGATCTATTTTTTATGTACAGTAGAACTGAATTAAGAAGGCTTATGGAGAATAAATTAGAACATTTCAAGTTAGAGATGTAAATTTTTCTTGTATAAAGCATTTAAGAAAATTTCCTGCTTAAGTATACAGAAATTCTTGTCCACAACCAGAACACGAAATTGCTTAAGAACTTTTTTTGACTATACCCTATCAAAAATTTTAATTGCTTATGAAAAAAGAAAAAAATGATATTAGTATGATTTTAGGTTTTGAAACAGATTTTTACAATTTATTTACATTGTTGCCAGTTAACCAACAGCCTACAGAAGATGTCATATTTCGTCTTCCAGAAAATATTAATACAAGTGACATATCAGTCATTACATAACAAAATATATGTCTAATGTAGCTTGCTTCATCTATGTAAATAAATAGATACAATATTCCTCTATAATACAGCTTATATAGTAAATAAATATGAATTATTGAAAGAAAACCCATAGTATTTTCATTTCTGTTTAAGAAGCTTTTTAAATTGGTCCCTTGATAATAAACTTCTTAATGTATTTGCTACAACAGAACTTGATTAACTTATTTCGTTAAATTGCATTTTTCCAGGGATTATTTACAATTTAAAAAATATAATGACCATACAAACAAATTTTGGGTCTATTTAAATCTTTATCCTTTTTTAAATTCCAGCCAGAGAGAGATGGTTAACAACTTAATATAAAAGACTCTATTTTATCTTCATTTATTGTCATACTGTTAAGAAATTCTTTACAGAATTGTGGATGAGTATAATTTGCTACAATTTGCTACAATTTGCTGTCTTTCTAGTACTAATGAAACACTCAAACTGTTCTTGTATTAAGATAGAACATTTCTATTTATATTTCATGAACCAATAGAATGATTTTCTAAATATTTATTATAAACTAACACATGGTATTTTTGATTTTTATTTAGACTTGAAATAACTCTCAGTAAATCAGAAGTGGGGTTATTATGGTCCGAATTAGTAATAGGAAATACTCGTGGGGAAGAAGTTATGGATCCTTCATTAGTAGCAGAGATTCATAATCGTTTGGCTCACCTCACAAGTGAAGTCGAGGTATATCTTTTATTTATTATAAAATAATTTTATTGTTGTTTTAATGGTAATTACTATATTTTAGGTAAATGACAAAAACAAACCTCCATTTAATGCTCAACAACTAGAAGAATGTGATATTTCAAATGAATTTTTTCTTTTTATGAGACTGGATGGAAACACTCACAGAGTAACACATCATGTAATGTATTATTTTTATACTGTATATTATTATTATTACTCTTTAAACTCAGAATCAGCCAATGGAAAACTTGTTTGACTAACTAGTTTTGCTATACAAGTTCCCCTTGTAGCTTGAAGGGTAAAAACAATAATGTATCAGGAGAAAAAAAAATTTAAAAAGAGATTTTAGTTTTCTAAATTCCTTTGAAGTGGTCCTGTTCATGTGGTATAATTCTCTAATGCCTCTTTTTTTCGAGGGCTTTCCACAACAATTTCTTTTGGTCTGTTATCATATGCCTTCTCCAGGTCAGTTAAAAGTCAATGATTTGTTCTTTACCATGCAGTTTTTCAGAATTTGTCAACTAGTCGTACAAGATTGAACATGAGAAAGACGGTGCAGATTTAGTAAAGTTTTGTTCCTAATTAATATGCTGTAAGTCTTTTCTAAATGTGTATGATAAACCCAGTGGTAAACTATGCACAAACTACATAGGAATTTTTAAAAAAGGAGATATCAAATACCTGTGTTACATTCCACTGGCATCTTTTCTTGTTTCTCCCCTTAGTATTAGTATTTTATTGAAGATATTGGTCATGATTATTATAATTTTGTTATCCCATGTGTTTCCACATTTCTCGGTCTTGGCATACTTCCTATTCTTTCTTAAGTCATTATCATTGTGAATACATTGATCAAATGGCATTTTGGAAGGCTTGAAGGAAGGACAAATTTTTTTTGGTCTGTTTCTGATGGTGTTCTCAGCTTCAGTAATTATTAATCTTTCACTTGTACATATTCTTGTTCTTTAAGCTTAATTACTTAAGGTATAATTTTATTTCTCCTTCCTTGTTACCTTTTTTTACGTTTTCTATTAAAGTGAATACATTTCCTCCATAATGGTTTTATCCTGTAGCAGGTCGATTAAAATTCTCATTCCAAATTTCTTTCCATTTATCCATATCCACAAACAATACTCTTACAGTACATTATTCATTTTAAAGCTCTTTTCTGTTGCCATTTATGAATGTATACATTTCAATCAGCTTTTCCCCATTGTCATATTTCTCACTCTAGAGCAGAGGAACATAATCATTTCTTTTTGGAATTGTTTCTCTCAATTTATCCCAGAATATTAATTCTTTTCCTTCCCCAATGAATTATCTGTTGGAGATTTGTATGAGCTGAGTTTTGGTAATGTGATCATACTCAAATTTTTAGTTGTAAAAGATTATGCTTTGGCTATTCAATAATAAATTATGGGGATCATAAAATGTGACTTTTTCAATATGGCATAGTTAATAATTACTTGTTAACAAGTATGTTGCGGTAAGAACATTTTCATATATAGACATTTTAAATTTAATTTTTGTTCTAAATGTCCATTATTTTTTAAATCATCTATATTTATACTCAGTTATCTAAAATAAATATAGGATTTATTATTATAATAAGAAACCAAAAATTATAATTTTGAAATCCAAATCTCACAATTATGGAATATTTTTACATCTTAAGCATTACTGCCAATATAGTGGAAACAGGGGTTTTCCGATTTAAATTATAGATACTTTCTTTACTATATTCTCTAAGGCTATGTCCTATGTGGCAGCTCAAAACAAACTGACTCAAGCAAACGTGCGTGCAGGAAGCAGCTACCAAGCAAGTTTGATCGCTGCTTCCACTACTCACGCTTCCAAAGAAGAAAATGGCTGATTTTGTAGATTTATTTATCATTCTGTTTTTATTTAAACAGAATGATATAACATATGTACTAATTTAATAATTTCTGATTTTGTATAAATGTAAGGTAACTAAAGAGGGCACTATCTTCAAAAGTATCAATCAGTTAAAAGTTTGCTTATCCTTTTGGGACCATAGTGTTATGCAGAACCAGAATTTTCTTTATATTTTTTCTTCCATTGTTTAGTTTAGATACAGCTTTCTTACATGGACTAAGGTCTGAAGTCATGAGTAATTATGAATTTTGAAAACAATCAATCAAGTGCCTATCTTTTTTATACTCCTTTGTTTGTTCCAACTTCTTAATTGTTCTGTAAGAAGTGCTTTTGTCTTTCCTAACCCTTATCCTATCACCAAAATAGTTGCCAATTTTGAAGACACATTTATTCTCTTCAGTTACGAGGGCTGTTCAAAAAGTATCGGACCTTTGGTTGGCAAAAATTGATTTTGAGGTACAAAACTCTAATCCCCTTCAAAGTAGTCTCCTTGGTAGTGTATACACTTCTCCCAGCGTTCCTGCCATTGCTGGAAACACTGCTGGAACGCATCTTTTGGAATGGCCATCAGCCGGTCCGTCGCATTCCGCACAATGTCTTCTCTCGACTAAAATTGGATTCCTTTTAGTGGCATTTTCAGCTTGAGAAATAGCCAAACATCACTCGGAGCCATGTGGGAAGAGTACGGAGCGTGACAAACCACAGGAGTGTCGTGTTTGGTGACGAAAGCCCGAATCAGATGCGCAGAATGGGCGGATGTGTTATCACGATGGAGCTGCCAAGTTTTGATCGACCACAGATCCGGTTATTTGCATCGCACAGCATCGGAAAGACGACGAAGGACCTCCTGGTAGTACTCCTTTGCAATGGTTTGGCCTCATGGTGCGAACTCACGATACACCACCCCACGAGAGTCGAAAAACTGTCAACATGACCTTGATATTGCTGCGGACCTGCCGCGCTTTTTTTGGCCTTGAGGATCATCCCCGAAAGCCTGCTGAATCTTGTGAATGGTTTACACTCGGGTATCGCCAAGGTTTTTGGCAAAATTTGATGTAATATCGCTACTCACGTTGTTCAGTCATTTTCCAACTTAGTGGAATCCGATGAGAGCTCGCTACATGTCCTCACTCATAGGCCGACTGCCAACGACTGACGCTTCCTGCAGGCGGGAAAAAATTCAGGACTGTGCATGATTGTCCCCTCCACAACTCCACCGAAAGAGCGCATCATTGGTTTACGCAGAAAAAATAAAAGTCCGATACTTTTTGAACAGACCTCGTATATATATAAGGTCTTGTACCCAAGCAAAATTCGTTGACTTTTTTCCAGTACTTCCTTTTAAACATTACATCACTTTTTACATTTTTCTAGCACAAAGGAAGTACTCAAAAAGAAAGTAAGCTTTCCTAGTTCTTTTTTTCATCTTTCTCAAACATTCATTGACACTTGTGGGACTCTCTCACTTCTGGAAAAGAAAATCCAAAGAAAAATTGAGTTTGGGTTTTTACTGTTAATTCAACACAATTTTGCTTTAACAAATTAAGACTGTTTAGCCTAGAAAAATGTAAGTAACAGTTTTTATTATGGAATACATTCATTTTTGACAAAAGAATCTGTAAATGTGTGTCACCTATCTTTACCAAATTGTTCTAAAAAATTTTATAATCATTATTTTAACCTCACCTATGTTGTGACGTTTGACCCTCAGGGTTAAACTCTATATATTTCATTACAGTATCAGTACATTTTTTATACTAGATGTCGCTATGCATCATAATTTTTATATTAAAATGAACTTTCAAAAAAAATATAAAAACAAAAAAGAATTTTTTCATTAGGATTAACATTGACAAAAATTCAACATGGCGGCCACACACAACAGAGAAAAATTTGAACATGGGATAGGTTAATGATAAGGACAAAATAAGTATACTAACCCAGGGGTCGGCAACCTGCAAATATTTATTTTATCAAAAAAAAAAAATTTAAAAATCGTTCTGAATTGATTAAATTAATTAACGAGGATTAGGCACCGATTCTATCTCTCAGCCACTTGTACTCGCTTTTCACCGCACCCCTCCCCGTGACACGCGTCGTCGGATGTTTCTATTATCTAATTTGTTGTGAAAAACAATACTTATATATGAATAAATAGATTAGTTTTTATCAAAAAACTTTATTTATGCGAGTACTATTTATTGTTGGCAAGAAAAAATTTTGTGGCTCTTTAAAAACTTTGAAATTTTGTAAATTGTAATTTTGGCTCTTCCGACTCAAAAGGTTGCCGACCCCTGG